AAGAATTAGATACATTTGAATCAGTGAAAAATAGAGAAGAGTTTGAAACAATGATTAAAATGGATGAGCTAAAAGAAGATGAAGACAAAGTTCCACAACTAATTAACAAAATGATTATTGATGGAGTTGATATATTCCAATTGTTAAGGTCACCATCATTTATAACAAGAAGTCCTCCTGATTATATTAAGCGTGCACTAATTGAACAAATGGAAAATGTACCAGCTGAGTTTATTGGTCAAATAGCTCATTCTATTGATTGGACTGATCATCTTCAAGTAGCTCGATTTGTTAAATACTTATGGACCCAACAAATAAAACCATTAGATGCTTTAATGTTATTAGGATACAGATGTCCATATAGGGCTGTAAGAGCTTATTGTGTTTCAGTATTAGATAAACAACCAGATAATGTATTACAATTTTATGCTATCCATTTAAGTGAGGCATTAAGATATGAAGAAGGACTAACACCGTTAACAGATTTTTTATTGCGTAGAAGCATTGCCTCACCAGCTACGGTTGGATATTCATTATTTAAAATGATTATTGGTGATACTTCCATGACAAAAAGGAGTATTCAACATTCAAGATTTATTGAAGCGTTGTTATCTGCAGATCCTGTTTTTGCTAGTCAAATGACAAAAGAATGTGAGTTTGCATTAAATGTTCAAACAGTAAATTCTACATTAATACGAATGGATTCTGAGAAAAGACAAATTTATAGAAGTGCATTATTAAAAAGTATTTCTGTTGCTGTACCAATTCCATTTAAACCAGGAGTTATTGGTGGATTATCTTGTGAGAAAAGTAAAGTATATACATCAAATGCAGTACCGTTACTAATTGATTTTAGTGGATATAAAATGATATTTAAGTTAGGAGATGATCTTAGACAAGATTGCCTTATTTTAAGGGCATTTAAATTATTTGACAATTTATGGAGAATGAATGGAATGGATTGGAGAATGACAACTTTTAGAGTTATTTCTACAGGAAATACAGCAGGATATATTGAATTTGTAAGAGATTCTAGAAGTATTGGATCGATTCATAATGATTCAAAAATACCTGGAGTATATAAAGTAACGGCTATTTATGACTGGATTAAAAATAATAAAACAGCGCCATTAGGACAATGTATAGAAAATTTTTATCGATCATGTGTTGGATATTGTGTTGCATCATATGTTCTTGGATTAGCGGATAGACATAATGATAATTTGATGGTAGATAAATCTGGACATTTTCTTCATATTGACTTTGCTCATTTTTTAGGAAATAAATTAAAAGTTGCTGGTGTTATTAACAGAGAACCCGCTCCGTTTGTACTAACTGAATCTATGATATACGTCTTTGCTGGAGAAAGAGGAACTGAAAGATATAAATTAAAGTATAGAGAATTTTGTGAGGATTGTGTTAGAGCGTATCATGTTTTAAGACAAAATGCTTCACTTATTGTTTCGTTCTTTACTAATATGATTTCAAGTCAATTAAGTCAATTAAATGAAATTAAAGATGCTGAATATTTATTCACTTCATTACAATTAGGAAAACAAGACTCATTATCTGATTTAGAATTTGTAAAACTTATTCATGATAGTTTAAACTCAGAACAAACAAATATGAATTTCTTTATTCACTCACTTGTCCAAAAAACAAAAAAATAAATGACCATTTATAAATGTATATTCTTTATTTCAAGTAGAATTAAATAAAAAAAAAATAACAAGAAAATTAAATTAAAAACACATGAGTTAAAACACAAGCTAAATCATTCTATTAATTCATATAAAACAATCAATGACTATCAATTAGTAAAAAATCCACCATTTGGAGGAAGTGATTGGTTAATAAAACATTCATCATTTCCAAATATTTGATTTTGATTTTGGTTATAAATGGCAAAAAGTAGTGGAGGTTGTTGATTATGTTGTTGGTCTACTACAGGACTAGTCATATTTTGATTATATTGAAAAGGTTGATTTTGAATAGTAAATTGATTTGGTTCTGTTGAAACATAAGTTTGTACATCATCGTTTAAATAAAGAACTTGTTGTTGAGTTATACCAGTATTTGTTTGTATGACAATTGGTTGTTGATTTATTCCTTCTATTGGAGTAGAATAATAATGTACATAGGATAAATTAGATGTATCAGGTGCTTGTGCTGAAACAATACTTCCTTCAGGATAACATGAAGTACTAAATTCAGTAAAATTAGACATTGCACCAAGAGAAGGTTCATTAATAATAAATTGTTCTTCTTTAACATTTGGAATTGGTTCAGAAACAACAGAATTTCTATTAACAATTTTTTCCGTTACATTTTTCCAAATACCACCAATAGCTTCATCATAAGCACCAACATCAACAGAACTACTTGACTTTTCAAATCTTTCAAAGACACTACGATTAATTGCCTCTCCAATTTCATTAATTTCAGAAAGTCCAAGAGAAACACAACCAGAAACAGAACATATTTTTGACATTTTTACAGTTAATTTAGCTGGTTTAGTTGGTCTTTTTTTAAATACATATCCTATTTTTTCACACATTTGTAAAAGTTCAGCAAATGACAAAGAAGAACGATTAGCATCTCTATGTCGTTTTATTTGTTTTAATTTTTCTAAGCTATATTTTTTATCTGGAACAGAAACAGAAGAAATTGTATCAAGATCATCAGGACGAAGGTCTTTATATCCACATTCTTGTAATTCTTTAAATACTAACTCGTTACATTTCTTATCAATCTCATGTTCAAATTGAATTAAAGTATTTTCTTTAGTTAATGCTTCAATTAACATTAATTGTAATGTCTTTTGAGATCTTCTTTCTGGACGTTTAATTCTAAACCCAAAACCATTAACATTAAGAATACCTAATAACACTGCTTGTTGAATAGCCTCAAATGATTTAGATGATCTTTTAAGTTCTTTCATAGAATAGCCTGCAGTTTTTGAGGTAGTTGATTTCATGAAAAATACTATAAAAATTTTTAAGTTTTAGATTACTTAAATTCGGTTGACATTTATTCTTTCTTTTCCCGATTTATCTCTTCCGAATTATGTAATTTTTGGTTCTTTGAAAATTACCACAAAACCACTTTTATCCTAAATAACACTTCAGTTATTTTTCCCGTTTTTTGCCAATTCTTTTCTCTTTTTTTCTATTATTTATAGAACAATTTAAATAAAAAAGAGATATTTTAAGATCAGTTTCTTTAATAGAAGAAAGAAGATCTTTCATTTTTTCTTATTTTAGACTTTGATGTTCTATTCTCTCTTTAATTGGTGGAAAAAGGAGAAATAATAAAAAGTATTTTTACTTTACTAATCACCAAAAATATAAATCCTTTTTATTTTTTTTTTTTTTTAGTTTTATAATTAATTATCCAAAACTAATCTAATTTAACAAGAACGAAAATTTTTGAGGTATAAATATTGTTTCGTTCGTATTAATAGAAAATTAAGAAAAAAAACAAAGTATTGATTAACGCTGTATTTAAAACATTAGTAGATAAACATAATGAGATGAGTTAAATCTGTCATCTCATCCTATTTAGAAGATAAATTAGGCATTCATCCAATCACTTATCGTTTGAGACTTAATTCTATATTTATAACATTGACGGATAAATTGAGAACATTTTGTATAACTTAATAATGACTTTGAAGGGTTTTTTAATATTTGAAGAGCAGAACTGATGTCTTCACAACTTAATAAATCTTTTTTTAAATAATGTAATAATGTACTTGCAATAGTATAAATTGCTTGTTGTCCATATAATAAACACAAATCAATAATTGCATAACAAAAGTCACAAGGAAGAATTCTACAAAACCAAACCATATACCACTCAAAAAGAAATCCTGGACATTGAACTTCTTCATATCCTAAAGAAATTAAATGATTATATATTGAGTGATGAATATTTTTAAGTAACATATTATGTATTTTTTCACATCTAATTAACCCAGGAAATCCGGTTTTAAGACAAGATTGTAAGTTATATCTTTCATTAGTAATCATAGTATTCATTAAATCAAATGTATCATTTCTTTGTAAGACAATAGAAAATACTATTCCTGCTAAATCAGACATTCCTTGAGTATATCCTACTTCTGGAATTTCTTGTGATAATGCACGTAAGATAAGAAATAATTCTCTTTTACCCATGACATAATTATCTTTAAATAAATAATGATATCCAAGTGTCCTTTTAACATCTAAATCAATTTGATTATCATCATGAATTTCTTTGGTTGAGAAAAAAAGATTATTAAGATTTTCATTTCCTTGTTGTTTGCTTTGAAAAGATTTACTAATAAGACTCCAATACTCTTTTCTACATTCAACAGGAACACCCTTATATACTCTACGTTTTAATTTTTTAGGTATTTTTCCATCGCACTTCCATTGTTCTAACATTTTTTTCCATTTAATGGTTCTTGTTTCTTCCTTTAATTTTTGAGAAGATGTTATCATTTCACATTGAGACGTATAATCCATTCCTTTAGTAAGAGTACTAAACCCATATCTATTATATCCTTCGGGTGTACTGGGTACTATAAATTCATTTGACTCTTTGATATTATATTTCTCCAATAATTTACTCATTGGAATAAACAACTTTTTTTAGTTCGTTCTTTATTTTTACTATTTTCTCTTTTCTTATTAATTTATTTGACTTCTTTAAATAATTCCCCCACCTTCCTATTTCTTCTCTATCGACTTTTTTCGTTGCTTTGAATATTCGACATGTTGACTTGATTTTATATTCTTTTTATTAAGAGGAATAACTTTTAATAAAATAATAAGAATAGTAAAAAAATAAAAAAAAGATAATAAAGTCACACCGTTTTTTTTTTTTGAAAAAAGTCTTAAAATAGTAAGTTAAATATTATTAAAAAGTCTAATACGACAAAGAATGACTTAAAATTGATAAAGAAAGAATGAATTAAAAACAGTGAAATATGAAAGAGAAATGATATATAACTACTAATCGCAACAAGTATTTGAAGGAAGTGATTGAGTAAAAAAGTGATCTAGATAAGAAATGTCATTTGTTTTATTTTGATTAGTAGTAAAATAAATTGAAGGTTCATTAAAGTGTTGAGTAATTATTTCGTTTGATGATTTATTAATAGGAAGAGAAGTGACAGTAGGATAAATAGAAATTTCTTCATGAGAAGAAGAATTTGGTTGTTGATTACAAAAGAATAATTTAGGTTGTATTGAGAGTTGTTGAAGATAATTATGATCGAACGTATTTTCATAAGTGTAAAAAGATGTATCTGATTGTATTCCAGAAATAACACTTTCTTCATAACAGAATGAAGTACTAAAATCAGTAAAATTTGAAGGTGTTGTTAAAGAAGGTTCAGGACTAATAAATTTATCTTCCTTAGAGGTATGATCTAAAGTATCAGAAGTAAGTTTAATATCAATATTTTCCATTATTTTTGGTTTAACTGCTATTAAAGTATTTTGAATAATTTTTGTATTATTAATGAAATGATTTTGTTTTAAATTAAATGCATTTTTATCTTGTATAGAAGAGAATAAATTATTTTGAGTATTTTCTTTTTCTAATGAAGTTGTTGTTATACAAATTTTATCAATTTTATCTTTATTTGTTATTTCTTTGAATTTACTAGTATTAGTCTCTATTTGATGACCATTTTTTTTATTACTTTCAATAACTTTATTACAAATTTTTTCAATAATAAAATCGTGTGGAGGAATAATTATAGAAAAACTTTCTTTATTAAATCTTTTATAAATACTTTCATTTACTTTTGTTCCAATTTCATTAATATCACTTAATGTTAAATTAACTTTTCCATAAACTGAAGAAATCTTTTCTAATTTTTTTGTCATTTTTGCAGGTTTTGTTGTTCTATATTTAAATTTATATCCTAATTTCTCACTCATTTGTAATAATTCTTTAAATGTTAATGCTATCTTATTGGCATTTTTATGTCGTTTTATTTGTTTTAATTTCTCTGAATCATATTTTGAAGCTAATTGTGCAATTGAAGATGTTCCATCAATATCACTTGGTTCTAATTCAATACATCCATTTTCTTCTAATTCTTTTTTGACAATTTCATTACAAGTGGCATTAATATTTTCTTCTAATAAAATAATAGAATCTTTTTCATATATTTCTTCAACTAACATCAGTTGTAAAGTTTTTTGAGATCTTCTTTCTGGTTTTTTTATTTTAAATCCATATCCATTTATATTTAAAATAGATAATATTAATGCTTGTTGAATTGCTTCAAATGTTTTTGAAGACCGTTTAAGCTCTTTCATAGAATATGTAACTCCTTTAGTTTCTTCAGTAGGTGTTATTTTCTTCATTAGTAAAATGAACATAATTTGAGTTCTTCTCAATGATTTTTTGTTGAATTACTTCAATCTGTTAATTCCTCTTCTTATTTTTTTTTTTACCTCAAAGTCATCTTTTTATTCCTTTCATCCTTTTTCTTACTTCTACCAAAATCTTATTTTTATTTAATGTTTTTGAATAGAATATTCTTTTTTTATTTATATTTTTATTATCTAAAATTAACATACTATTATCTCAAAAATAAATCTAGTTCTTTTTTAATTACAATTTATATTCTTTGTTTTTAACTTAATCTTTCGGGGATTTTTTAATTCGTTCTTCATTTGTGATTTAAATGATGTTTATAACGTAAATTAAATTGTTATTACAATAATATGAAAACTTTTATTTTATAGATGAAAGGAAAATAATGATAGATCTATTTGTGGGTAAGAAGAATGTCATTGTTTTTTATAACAAATATCTACCAAGTAAATATCGGTTAGATATATTGAAATTAATTTGGTTAAGAAGGAAGAAAAATGAATAAAAAAAAAAAAAAAAGAAATCAATTATGATTAACCTTCTTTTTTAGGTTTTTCATCATGTTGAGAAGTGAGCGAATCAGTTTCTTCAACACGCTTTATTTCTATTGAAATATTGTTTTTGCAAGCATGCTCGACTTAAATGGTTCCTCAATTAAGTTGCTGCCTGACTTTTATTTTGATTTTAATGAGTAATATAATATTTCTCATTCTTTATATTGTTGTTTTAAGGAGAGTATATCTATAACATACTGTTATAGCTCATCTCCTTTTACCTTCGACACCCCTTAAAGAAACACTATTCCTTGATAATATCCTTATGTTTAATTTTTGTGCAACAATATCAATTATATATGCGTCTTCTTTAATAAATGATAATTCTTAATACATAATACCTCCTTAGTAAATAATAATCTTTATAATTAATAATGAATAACAATACACGTTAATGAATAACAATACATCTCAATGAATAATAATCTTTTATAATAATCACTTCTAATAAATATTAATAATAATAAACAGTTAGTGTTGAATGGATATTATCTCACCAAATGAATGACATGAATAGATGATAACAGAAAGATTTGAAGCATGGGATTATTTTAGGGTTTCATGTGGTGTCTCTGATGTGCCATCTTCGTCTCGTTAAGAAGGAAGAAGAATAAATAAAAAAAAATTAATTATAAAAGATGTGAAGTACTTTATTAATAATAACACTCTATTTTCTTCTTTGTTTGAGAAAGAAATAACTTATTAAAACAATAACAAAAGAGTTAGTAATATATATTACAATTATACAATGCAATAAAGTTCATGACAAACAGGAGCAAAGGCACTAATAGACTTTTGAGAGAGAACTGATGCTGTGATATCTGATTCAGTAATTCCCAATCTTTTCAGATGACCAAAATATCTATTTTTAACAGCATTTGGAGAACGTCCATTAAGGTATTGAGAAATTTGAGTCCATTTATTTCCAAGAATATTACGTTGAGAAAGAATAATAGCATCTTCAAATATAGTCCATTGCTTTTTTTCATTAGCATTTGATAAATTATTTAAAAACCTTTCTCTACATTGTTTTCTACTTCTACTTGGTACAGCTTTAGCAATTTCATTCCAATTATTTCCATATGCTTCAATAGCAGAAAGAAGCATTTGGTCTTCTTCTTTTGACCAAGTCCTTACAATTTTTTTATTTCTTGAATATCTTTTTTCAGTAGAGGATTCACAACAAGTAGACATAATAAAGAAGGAAATATTGAATAGATGTTATGAGATGAACATCCTTTTTATAGTCAACCTTTTAAAAAAAAAATCAAACTCCTTGCGAAAAATACCTAATCCTGCTGTAAAATTAAATCAATTTGCAATTATATTTTGTTAAAAAAACACTTTTAACCGTTAAACTATAATTTGAACATAGTTTATTAAAAATAACTACATTTATCTATTTATTTTTCATATTGGTGACAAAACAATTTCATTGAGCGAAAACTGATTGCATATGAATAGTTACTTTTTAACGATATTCTTTTGGAATACCACGAATTAATGAGGTGTCATTCTTCTTTTGGTGAAATTAAACTAAATTAAGAATTGCGAAAAAATAATTACTTTCGGACTTCATGAAATGAAGTGAGTATAACGTTACTATAAACGTTCATTACTTAGTAACTTCAGAATTAAAAAAAAGAGATTTATTTTTCAATCTTTTCTCTTAGACAAACTTAAATTAGTTACGACAAAGATTAGTATTTATTGACATTAATGATTGTTTGGGTTTTTCTAATTAACCTTGCACATAAAAAACAAAGATAACTTAGTTTAATTCTAACACTCCTCTTAATGAGTTAAGTTTTATATTTTAATATGAATGGTACAACCATTAAACTAATTTTATGTATGATTTAAGGTAATATTGAATGAGTTAATTCTTATACTTTACTCAGTGTTTTAACATAAGTAATAGGTTCTAAAAAAAACAAAAGTTTTAGATACGATGAATCTAAAACCACCACTTAATAACAATTATATACAAAACTCTTGATTGTAGTTTCTATATTTTTTCTAAATTTATGAAAAAAAATTGTAAGTACTTATAAAATTAACATATTATTCATTGAAATGATACTACATAGTTTTTATATATAAATAAATATTCATAACATTTGGATAAATGAAATTTAGTTTACATACTTATTTATGAATGAATGTAAGTATTTTTAACTTTTTGTAATTAATTACTTTTCAAAAGATACTTTTTAATTAACAAATTTTTATTTAATGCGTTAAAGAATTTTTTCATGATTTAAAAAGAATATTGAGTGTCGTTATTAACTAACTTAAGAAAGTTTTTTTAAAGAAGGATAATTGTAAAATAAAATAATAATGAAATAATTTAAGTTATTTTCAATTACTCACATTCCATTGGTAAGACTTCTAGTTCTTGTAATTCTTTTTCAAAGACATAGTCCATATAATTTAAATCATCTTTTAATTGTTCTTTTTGACATTTCGTTAAGTCATTAATTATATCAACATCACATGATGTAATTGACTGGATTTTATGAATATTTAATTGAAAAGAAATATTTCTATAAAATCTTACAAACACCTTTTAAAAAATTATTTAAATAAAATTGATCCTTTTGATTATTTCTACGTTGTTGTTGAATGATTCTGCGTTGTTCAAGTAAATTTATTTGATTTCTTAAATTCATTTTAAAAAGGGGAGATTAAGAAGTTTGATTTTATTTTTTTGTTTTAAGATTTTTTCTTTTTAATAAAGAAATTTCAAGATTAGTTGAAAAAATAAAAACAAAAACGATCTTAAAAAACTAAAATTAGTGTTATAAGATGGTTTGTTTATTGAGTCTCAAAGTTATTACTTACTTATGATTATAGATTCATTTCTTCTTCATTCAAAATAAAGTTGGACGTGTTCGTTTGGCCAAATGGTATGATGCTTATTCTGAAAGTGAAAAGGTTAAATTAACATCAGACATTCATCGTATTCTTGTCACTCGTGATTCAAGACATACTAATTTTCTTGAAGTTTGTTTCTTTTTTTTGATTAATCTCTTTAATTGTTTATCTATCAACTCTTTGAATATAGTTTATATCCTTTTCTAATGAATAATACACAGACAGAAACACATCTTACTGTTTAACAATTCAAAAAGAAAGAAGGATTTAGTTGGTTGTAGAAGAAAAAGAAGAAAAAATATTTATTTTATTTTAGTTCCACAATTTAAAATTAGTATATCGTAGATATGTAGGATTATATTTCATTTGTGGTGTTGATGAAACTGATAATGAACTTGCTTGCCTTGAAGCAATTCATATGTTTGTTGAAATTTTGGATAGTTATTTCGGTAGTGTTTGTGAATTGGATCTTATTTATTATTTCCACAAAGTCTACCAAGTTATTGATGAAGTATTCCTTGCTGGAGAAGTAATGGAACATCGTAAACAAGTTGTTCTTGGACAATTACGAGCTATTGATCAGTTAGCTAGTCAATCACAATAATTTAACCGTTTCTATTTTCTTTTTTTGTTATTTAGAAATTCTGAAAATAGGAATTAGGTTTTTATAGAAAAACTTCAAAAGAAAAAGTAAAGTAACATGCAAGACATTCCTCTTGATACTAAAAGCATTAATGTTATCTTAGTTGGTATGGCAGGAAGTGGTAAAACTACTCTTATGTCTATCTTAGCTGAAAAAACTGATGCGTATTTAATTAATTTAGACCCTGCTTGTAATGACCCACCATATTCACCTGACATTGATATTAGAGATACAGTAAATTATAAAGAAGTAATGAAAGACTATGGACTAGGACCAAATGGTGCAATTGTTACATCATTAAATTTATATTCTACAAAAGTTGATCAATTAGTAACTGTTTTACAAAATAAACAACAATTAACATTTATTGATACTCCTGGTCAAATTGAAGTATTTACTTGGAGTGCTAGTGGTCAAGTTATTAGTGAAGCTTTATCAATAGTAGCTCCAACAATTTATCTTTATGTTGTTGATACTGCTCGTTGTGTTGAAAATCCAAATACATTTATGGCAAATATGACCTATGCATGTAGTATTCTTTATAAAACTAAATTACCATTAATAATTGTTTTTACTAAAACTGATGTTATTCCGTGTACAAAACTAAATCAATGGATGGATGATTATGATAATTACCTTGATGCACTAAATGAAACTGAGTCATATGCAAGCGACCTTCAAAGATCATTATGTCTTGCATTAGATGACTTTTATAAAAATATTCTTCACTGTGGAGTATCTTCAAAGACAGGGGAAGGTGTTGACAAATTATTAGAATGTATTCAAGAAGGAAAGAAACAATTCTTTGAAGACTATTACCAACAAGTTCAAAAGAAAAAAGCTGAATATTTAAAGAAAGAACAAGAAAAGAAAAACAAACAATTTGAACAGTTTAAAAAAGACAGACAAGAAGAAGATACAGCACGTAGTCTTGTTAATGATGACTTTTGTGGTTCTGCAGGAGTAACTTTATTTAAAGAAGAAGATGAAGGTATGATATTTAGAAATGGAGAACGATTTTTCTTTGGCAAAAATGTGGATGATGATGAGGCTATTGAAACAATGAATGGGGAAGATATAAAATTTCACAAAGAAATAGAGAAAGATGATGGAGTTGATGAATTTGATTGATTTGATTTTCGTTTTAAGTTATTTTTCAGTTATTTCATAAAAAAATTAATAAAGATATTTAAATAAATTAATCTTCATATTATTAAATGTCATTTAAGTAATTTTATTTAAATTTTTATTTTGAATAAATTTAAAAGGTAAATAATTCATTTATCTTCTTTACAGCATAATATTTTATTTGTTTTTTTTTTAAATTAATTCTGTAACAATTAAATATAATTCTTACCTTTACATTTTTATAAATGATATTGAATAATTTTGTTTATATAAATAAAAAGGTTCTAAAGTATTAAAATAGTTATAAAGTTTAAAAGTCATTATTTTATTCAATTATGATTGTTTCTAAGAATGGTTTAGATAATAGTAAAAATAATTTTGTATATTTTATTAATCGTTAGAATTAATCATAACTGTTATGTAATAAGATTTTTTAACTTAATTTTTATCTTATTAAAAAGTAAAGATTTAGTGTCTAAACACGTTTCAATTTCTCTTTTTATTGTCTGATATAACTTGTACCAGTTATTGTCATTTCATTTAATAGAAAAGAACTTGAAATAATGGTAAAAACATGTAATAGAATGGATTTAACTTCAGACTATGAAAAAAACTATAATTGAAAAAATCTTTAATAATATTATTCAATGTTTAAATACAGAAGATAGTAAATTAGAACAAATAACAGAACTTCTTACATTATTATTAAAAGGAGTAGGAATGCATCATTCTGGATTATTATCTATAATGAAAGAAACAGTTGAAATATTATTTCAATAAGTATTAATAAAATGTTTATTTGAAACCGAAACATTTGCTATGGGACTAAATATGTCAGCAAGAACTGTTATATTTAGTAATGTAAAAAAAACTGATGGAAAAGAAACAAGATATATTAGACAATGAAAGTATATTCAAATGAGTGGAAGAGCTTGAAGAAGAGGAAAAGATGATTAAGGAGCAGTTATTTTAATGGTAGATCAAAAAATAGAACCAACGGTATTAAAAATATGATTTCTTTAGAAAGTAGATCCATTAACATCAATATTTTGAATTTTATTTATGTAGTCAATCACATGATTATTTGTTTACATTTAGATATTGTGATATTGATGTTTTTACAAAACATGATAAAACAAAATCATGGTGTAAACAAATTTCATTTGAATATGAAGGAATTTAAAATGCAATTTGTAGAAAAGAATATTCAGAACGTTTCACACCAAAACGAATCATAGTAATTGAAATGAAATGATTTAATCTTGATTAATTGAAAATGAACAAAAAAGAATAAAAAAAACAAATCAATGAAGAATATGAACAGCCATTTCATTTCATCTGCCAATGAATGAAATGGTGAATTAAAAATGGACATAATTCAATGTTGATTTATTTTATTTCATTTGAAATATTCACATTCAATGATGGTGTTTTTAATAAATAATAAAAGAAATAAGAATGAAATAGAAATAAAATGAAATGATAAACAATTTATTTGTAATATTTCATTGAATTAATTCATTATGAATAAAATGAATAAGATAAT